ATACAGACACTTTCAAAGTGTTGAATTTAACTCTGTAGGAGTTGATGGAACACTTCTAAATTTGCTGTGTGGTGTGAAACGTATAAAAATATAAAATAATTTACCAGTAAAAGTTCTGCAGACTCCAGTCAAGGTTTCCAGAATAAATTACTTTATATTTAATAAATTACTTCATGAAAATATAAAATAACTGAACGCAAGCCAAGGCTTCCAGAATGAGGCGTGTCATGGCAGAGCGGCTCTAGACCTCAGCGGTCCCGGTTCCTTGCAGGATGCCCCCCACCGTTTATCAGCTGGTTTCTGCTCATAAAACCGTTTCTCTGGCGTCACAGCGACTAGTCGACTCGACTTTTATCAGGTTGACCTCGACTGTTGTTGAACCGCCAGTTTTACCCAGAGTTGAAACTCAGACCAACAATAAATGTTTCAGTGAAACAGAAGCTTCAGTTTTATTGAATATTGTGTTTATATAATTATTTGCCTTTTACCAAAGACTTTACTCTGAGTCATTTCTTGGATGGGTACTTTTTATTTTTACTTGAGAAAAATATATTGAAGTATCCTCCTGACTACCAGGAAAAAAAATATTGTCCAATCACCATTTGTTTTAAGTCCCACAGTCTTTGTAAGGTAATAAAATGTTTTATGCACTTACTTTGTCTCTTCCCATAAAATGCGTTATTACTGATGAATGCCATTTTCATGAATTAGAAAAAGGTGCGTACAAAAGTCCCACCCCTTCACATGTGGTATCATTGAAAAGCCCTAAATGTCCTCTCCAGATACCAAAATGAATTAATTCAGTAGAATGCAGGGGGTGGGAGATATTCAAGTTTAGAAATGTCATCTACAGAGGACAAAAATGAACTACTGGTAGTCAGGAGGATAGTACATCTCTGACTGGAGTACTATGAATTAGTAAGTACCGTGTGTACCTATGTTGCCTCCTGGAGTCATGTGACCGAGACGCTGTGTGTTACCTTTGCTCTCTCTCTCTCTGGATCTCCTGGTTGATGCTGTTTATTCGGCCCAGAAGCTTCTTGCGTCTCTGCTCAGGAGGAAGCTGGCTGCCGTCAGTTACACTGGAACCCTGAGCGGACCAGGAGCATCCATTAGGAAACGCAGCAGAGCTTTGAAACAGCAGAATTTAATTGACCAGTGACACACTGACCAGCTTTAGGGACAGCTGTCCAACCAGGAGAGCATGAAAGAAGCAAAACAAATGAGTTAAACGCTCTGATTTAGCAGAAACATCACAGCTCAGAGAGCGGACAAGCTCTCCGAGTTTCCATATATACATACAAACAGCTATCAGCCTGACACAATGCAGGACATCATTAACGGACTGTTGGGCAGGCTGGTCATAGCCCAGTACTCCCAGTACTCCCAGTGACCGGTGGGGTTTTAAACCTGACGCCTGCCAGGCTGAGGTTCAGTTCAGTAAAGATGCTTCTCTGGGGGAGAGATGTGATCAAAACCCGGGAAGGACAAAACTCTGAGGAACAGGTGAGGGTCAGTGGCGGAGCCAGAGGGAGGACCGGGGGGGTCAGTGCCCCCTCTGTCATCTGATTGGTCCCCCCTGATGATTGACATGTAACAGCACCAGGTCATTCCTGTACATTATTCGGAATCATTCTAAGCCAACCTGATATCTAAAGAAGAAAAACAATAATAAATATATGAAAAGAAAATGTATAAAACTTTATATAAGTCCATGTAATGACATGTAAATAGATTTATACCAGCCTCCTTTATACTTGTACTCATAAAAACGAGCTGACATTGATCTGGATGCTTCAGTTGTGCTGCGCTGTGGTGCAACTCAAAGGCTAAAGCCCTTCAAACCTGGTGGTTCTAAAACACCAAGAAGTTATTTACTGATCCTCCACACAAAAAAAAAAACAAACAAAAAAAACGAAGAGGGCCGACAATGTTCGTAGTTTGGAGCAGAGGTTGCGCTGGAGTTTTTTTTTTTTGTTGTCCGTCAAAGAAAAAAATAATTTTATTTCCAATTTGTAGTCATCAAACGAAACAATTAGTATTTCTCTGCGAGAACCCTTTTGAAATCAGGTAACATTTCACGAAATGACGTGATTAGAAGAGGCAGAACTCTGATCGTTTCCTGATCCCGCATCACTTCCTTC